CCCCCCCCCCCCCCTCCTTGCTTCTTAGAGAAGTAAACTGATGAGAGCACTGGATGAGGGTCTATCATCTATGGTCTGTTATAATATGCTTTTTATGCAAATAGTGAGCAAAAATTAAAGCAAAACTGTACAAGTTACATATACTGTATAGTACTATGTCAGTACTATACACGAACTTTTATCGCTGGATAATTTTGCGATTTTTTATCCAATTCAATCATATATATGCTCAAAATCTTCGCGGTAATTTTCTCTTTACCATAAAATTTTACCGAATAAGTTTCAATGAAAACAATGTGACGGCAAAAAATGAAAAAATCCCGATTTTCGTAATAGAATCTATATAGTCTTTTTGCCCTGTTGTACCGCCGTCTTGGATTTATCATGTAGGCCCCGCCTGCGCTAGGTCAACCTCGTTCCCAGGCTCTTTGCTCTTGGGAAGCAAACACCCTGGTCGGGGCTGGTCATGTGACCCCGCAGATTTTGCGTGGTAAATTGAATTGATCTCAGGGAGGGGTGGTAGAGGAGTCTGTTTGTTGCGTTTGGAAAATTGCAATTTTATGTGTTATAGTTTCAGGTGATAAAAATGTAATTTGCAACAAGATATCGTGAAAGGAATAGTTTTAAATTCATATTCATCATGACACAACTTCCTGCTATACTGAATGTCATCAATCAGCGGCGGCGGAACAGATTTCGTTCTGTGGGGGTAAAATTTTTTCGGCGACCTCCCACTTTTACTTCTGGGAGGGCTTTAGCCCCCTAGCCCCCCTGTTCCGCCGCCCCTGTCATCAATTATAAGTGTTGCGGTACATTTCAAGCAAGAAGCTGGATCATATTTCACTTCCAAGGACTCCACACGCGCCTGGCTTGCGAAGTTGAGCATGCATCGCCCTAGAAACATATATGTCTTCCCAATTCTATATCGACTGATCGATCAAACGATACTAAATGAACGATATGGTTGTTTATGGTTGAAGTGTATCCTGTCCGATATTCAACAAAGCCAAAGGATTTATTTTATAATGGAAGATTTCCCAAACATCGCTAACTGTGTGTAAACAATAGTGCTATCTTGACTGTGAAAGCACAGGATTAAAACCCGTTATGGACTGTAAAATTCCTTTCATTTACATTGCTGAAACTCAACGATCAAGAATGATTATGTCGAAGACTCGAAGTATAGCTATCTGTCATCAGACGAACACCAAGACTCCACTGTACGTTTCCGTGCGTGCGGTACATATAACTTGAATATTTAGGACGATATATGCACCGGACACTGGTATTGTACTTCATAGTAAATTATTTCATATTTTGTGTATTACAGTAATTTACAGCAGGTACATTAATTTATAAACCTTATAAAGACCTTTCATTCCATTGCACATTCAGGGCTTTATATTTGAAGAATAACCCGACAGCTTCTTTCGACTTGTATAATGCTGCTGTGAGTCATCAATATTTAAATCAACTTTAAATAATCTTTATCGTATACTGTATAAATGACATTTTAGCAGTTTCACCAAACCATACTAGAGGCAAACAACCTATATATCTATCAATGGAAACTTTAAAAGGCTTATCAAAAGTTAATTATAAGTAATTCTATGAGCTGGACTTCGTGCGCATATATACATTTTATGAATTATGTATATCTATATCCCTGATAAAACGTAGGGACACTTTATACCAGATATAATAAAAAATACTTTGCTAAACCTTTTCGGCTATCATTCCTTTGCATTCAAGGGGCGAGGGTGTTTGGCTATATAATTCATATCGGAGATTCTGTGCAATCTGATTTTGGCCTCAACAAACAGGTACTCGTGCAGACAAAAAAGGAAATGCATACAGTTGTGATTTGTCGTATAATTCTTTACTGTCGATCCCAAACAATTTTGTACTGTACATGTACGTTAACACTCCTTCCTACCTGGTGTTGAATATAAACGATGATAACCTTTTTAAAAAAATCTAGAGCACTATGTCTATAAACCGTTTTAGAATCAATAGAATGGACATTCAATGTCTATTTGGCTAGTGTCCAAATATGTAACGTTTGCTGTAGGACCAGCAAGGGGCAGCGCCTACGACCTACACAGTCGCTTTTGAGACTTCTATTTAACAAAATTTATACTGTTTCCATATGACAACAATTCAATGGCACATTATAAGAATATTATACGTATCAGAGCCAGATACAGAAACGTACGCGTGAAATGAAACTGCGCCCGAACCCCGAGACACTGAGACAATAAAAGGGCAAATATTTCCAAGCATATACGATCATACGTTTTCGTTGCTTGATTTTCTGACTTGTTTGTTGCTGTAAGAATCTACAGTTTAGCATGTTTGTATAACTTAAAAGCAAACAGAAACCAATTTAGCAAGTATTTTGAAGTATATATGATTCTCAAAGATGATTGTATAGCACGGTCACTCCTTGCAATCGAAGTGTGAGGTGCGGAAGTGGAAACATGTAATTTGATACTTTTCCATCCCCCTCTTAGGTTATCAATTTTCTATGGGTCACGTGACCAGCCCCGACCAGGGTCTTTGCTTCCCAAGAGCAAAGAGCCTGGGAACGAGGTTGGTATCGTATGACCCCTCTGGTATGACCCTGCAAAGGCCAGAAATAGTTCGGAAGGTCAAATTGGCCAATATTTATTGGCCAATTATTGCGCAATGTACGCGAGTGAGAGAGTAAAACCCGACATCTTGAAAAAATATTCAAAATAAATATTTCTACTCGCAGTACTCAAACGAAATTTTGTAGACGAAAGCGCTTGAATACAAAGAGTACATTACACATATAGCCGTTCAGCAAATTACGAAAAGTTCAAGAGATATTCAAGATCTTGTGAAATTTAGAATCTTAGGCCAAGCGGTGAGTAAATATAGGATTGTTTTGGTTTGTGTGGTTTGTGTTATGTTCTGACGGCACTTCACCCCCCGTTCGAAAGGTGATTTTGTGAGGATTACAATGGTGGCTTTTATTTAAAAGGGGGGTAAATACTCGCCGAGATATTTATATTAGAAAAATTGTGTCGTAATGTGATGCGAAACCGTGCGGCTTGGAACGGTCGTCAAATAGTTTAATAACATGAAGTCCATTAGACTTCTCGCCGAGGCGATATTCAGTGGGGCCCTGACAATATTTTCAAGCACTTTTCTACTACCGGTATACGGTAGTAAGTCTAGTAAATACTCAATCTTCAATTGAGTTTCGAAACTCAATCTTCCTCCACAATGATTTTTTTTCACAATTTTATTTTTTTAATGTAAATGTTCCAATGTTTTTCTATACAATTTTGTTCAAAAAGCTGTCGAAAACTGTTTTACTTCTGAGACACAAAATCTCGTAGAGGAATACTCTGAATGTCCGTGCACACTAGAAATGTGTACCACAACTGGGGCTGGGCATTACGGGGGTGTGATACCCCCATAATTTTGAGAAATAGTAAAAAAGTCTGTCCCAAATGAACCATTAAATTTGTCTGTCCCGATCGTTCTGTAGTACGCAAAATTATTGTTTCCGTGAGATTTGTTTTTTGGACAGTGTCCAAAAATAGTAAGTAAGATTGCTTATTGCCATTATACCGGCTGCCTGAATCAACTTTCTTTCTGTGCTCTACAGCCAGCTGATGGCCAAACTAAAGTCTGAAAATGCCATTTCCGACGATCTAGAGACTTCAAAGTTTCAAAAATTTTCTGCTCGTTGCCAACCATGGTTGCGCCTTCCAAAATGTAAACACGTAAAAGTCGGTCCCGAAGTATTTTACACCCCTCCAAAACTATTTTGGAATGTGCACCCCTGACCACAAAATATTTTAACGTCCTCCCCCCCCCCAAAGAAACTCAATCTTCTTCTGAAAAACGGTAGTAGACTAAAGTGCTTGAAAATATCCCTGTTTGTATATATTATATATTACATAATCAGTAAAGTTTAGCACCCGATAAGGCCCGGTTTAGACGGCGAACTTTTCATGCACCGAACGGCGTCTAAATCAATTAATTAAGTTCTGCATGTCGATAAATTCGATAAAAACATCAGGAGCCAATAAATTAGATAAGGCGGTTTTCCACTAGACGACCGAATCGAAATTTTCTTTTGTCTTACAAGCACTCAGATGGAATTAAACAGAAATCTTTTGAATTTGAACAATAGAAATTTCGGTTCGATCGAAAAATTTCGCCTAGTGGAGTTGTGGAACTTTAATAATTTGGCAGGGCTCGCCGCTCACCCATGCAGGCTCTTCCCTTTTATGGAGGTCAAAAAGGGACGAGCCTGCGAACATGATTACCTGCGATTCTGGTGCAAGGCTCTGGGTATAACTACTTCATCTTGCACGGATATTTTGGATGCGTGCAGGGTCAAAGATTCGGAATACCCATGCAAGATGAAATACTAACCATGTTCTGACCACTACAGACTAAGTTTTATACCAAAACAATTATTTTTAATTACTTTCACCAGGAATTCAAACGTACCAGAACTTGTTTAATTTTACCATTTTTTTATTTTTTCACTGTAAAAGTTTCCGGATATGATGTCGTCATTGGATGAGTATTTGGAGCAATAGCCAAGGAAAACTATTTTGCAATCCGGAAATTTTGACAGTGAAAAAGTCGATCAATATGAGGGTTTTTTCCTACAACGGTATATTACATTTGGAATGATCCAAATATTGACACTGATAGAAAAATATATTGTGCGGTTTATAGTCGGACTTTCAATACATCTACAAAATATTTCCATTGCAGGTCTGACAAAAAGGAAGCTGATACGACCTGGGCGAATCCAGATTATCGGCTAGATTTGGATAGGGACTCGGCCCAAAAATTATTTGTCACAGTCTACAAATTAAAAAGGAGCTCGCCCAAACAATTCGATCGCGCTATACAATTCTTCAACGATGCCTACACTAGAGCAACGGAGGTGTTCAACAATCAATCATTGAGCTTACAAGATCGAATTATGGCGGCAAAACTTCGAATTCAAAGCGCATTGCTGTCAAATATAGAAAAACCATCTCTCTCAAATATTTGTAAACTATATCTGAAAGATTTGCACGATTTACCTCCAATTGTGGAAATATTTCGCTATGACCTGGAAGGAGGGATGTTATCGAAATTTAATCAAGCCGAACGACATGAGTTATTCCAATCTGTATGCATGATGAATTTTACTTTGTTCCGTTTCTTAAACTGCTTTACCAACCCCAGAGAGCTAAACGTGAATGTATATGAGTGGCCAATGATTGAAAGCGATGGCTGGATGTACAACCCATTGATTCCAGACGAAACGGTTTTAAAAGAACTACAGCAGGCTGAAATTGAAGTGCCAAATTTAGTGTTATTTAAACCCCTGGAGCATCAGCTCATGGGTATTGACCCCAAGCTAGTAGCCGTTAATAGTGACGGGGATTTAATCTTGTTTCGACAGCGGGCAAATCCAGACGTGTGCGAGTTACTGAAAGTTTCCGGAAACGAGGTTAAAGTGTTCTATACTTTCCCGGAATTCACTTTGGTTTCGTTTTTGGCTGTGAACGATGCGGATTTTCTCTTCGTTTTTGCTGATAATGTGAAGGGTGGTCTAATTCCTACCGGCTATTTGATGTATGACGTGTCGGTTTTTTATCCACAAGGCGATATTAGCGGAATTTATAAGGACTTTTTATTGCTCGATGGTTCTGTTGTCCTGGCTCCGACACCACCACGAAAGTTCTGTGAAGTTGCCTTGTGTATGCCTGAGGATGTCCTGAAGAAGGAAATGAAAATACAGGGGGAGATGGAAATCCGGAATGAAGAGAAAATCCATGGGAGGTGCCCATCCGAAGTGAAGAGAAAATCCAGGGGGAGGTGAACATCCGAAGTGAAGAGAAAATCCAGGGGGAGGTGAACATCCGAAGTGAAGAGAAAATCCAGGGGGAGGTGAACATCCGAGGTGAAGAGAAAATCCAGGGGGAGGTGAACATCCGAGGTGAAGAGGAAATCCAGGGGGAGGTGCCCATTCGAAGTGAAGAGAAAATCCAGGGGGAGGTGAACATCCGAAGTGAAGAGAAAATCCAGGGGAAGGTGAACATCCGAGGTAAAGAGGAAATCCAGGAGGCGGTGAAAATCCAAGAAAAAATCCCGAGGGAGTTAAACATACTTCATAGTATTTTAGTTGAAATTAAAATGTGGGAAAACACATTAGCTACCATAACCGACAACCTTCAAGTCCTTGCAATAGAACAATATAGTTACCACGTCCGTGTTTTTGAAAAAGATGGCCGATTTGTTCGAGAATTTCAATTACACGATGGCGAAACAGAAGCTTGCGTCGCAATCACATTCAACAGACTCACGAGAGAGTTAGTTGTCGTTTCTCGTGTCGAAAGGGTTTACTTCTTGTCAACGTATCTGCCGGAGACAGGCAAACGACGCCATAATGTTAGGTTGGCACATATTGGTAAAGATTGCCAAGAGATTCATCTCACATCACATTGTCGTGGCTCAATCGCCTTAGTCACAAAGGAACATGTACTGTATCTTCAGTAATTAATTATTATTGTAGCTCGATGGCTTTGCTCACTTACACATAGAAACATGTGCTGTTTCTTCGTAACTACACGTTAGGGTGCTCAGTGGCGTTGGTCACCAAGGACCATGTAGTGTATCTTCGGTAATTAATTATTATATTATCGTAGCTCGATGATTTTGCCCACTTAGTCTTAGAAACATGTGCTATTTCTTCAATATACTGATTCTTTATAAGTCATTTTTCTAAGGATGTTTGGTTGTTTCTCGATAAATAGCTTCTGTAGAAATTAATACTCATTGGTTATACAGAGTTATGTTTAGGGTTAAATTGTTGTCAAATAAAGTTGTTAAATTGTTAGAAAATTAGTTGCGAGTTTGAAAACAACGAAAGTTCATCAATTATGAGTTACCGGTATTTATGTTAGTTTTTCATAAAAATCTTTGTGTTATTAATGAAATTTTCAACTATTGTTGGCATGATCAACTTTTGTTCACAATTTTGCCTATATTGAACAGATGGAGTAAAGCCTATTTTCCTCGAAACGATAATTGTTTCGCGCGAAGCGACTTTTTCTGACTCGTTTCCATTCACTCATCCCGCGTTGAATGATGGGAATGCATTAAAATTTTGTTCACAGCATTTCCACGAGCCTTTGCGCCATATTGTTCCAACCCGCAAGCGCCTGTCTTGCAAGCTTGAATATCTTAATTTTTTTCGAAGCAATTTTGAGCTCACTACTGTGAAAGAGACCGTCTTAAATTTGCGAAAATTCTATCGAGCGAAATGTCCAAAATCTTCGTGAATTGTGAAGTCTTAAGGTGGCTCCCATAGATAGTGGCTCC